TGTCTACTGTGTCCATTTCATCTGTATGCTGGTTCTCTGTGTTTCTCTGAGCGTCAGTCCATCCTTTCGATTGTCTGACTCTTTTCATCCTTCTCTTTGCCCTGACTCAGCAATAACCAGCAAACAAAAGTCGCCCCACAGTGAATGTTATCAGGTACTAAGGAGTGTGTTCGGTGTAGGCTGTCATACCAAGGCATGAAAAGAATTATTATCCTTTCAAAGCCTGGTATTTTTATTTTTAGAGAGACGGACAGAATTACAAAACTGTCATGATTCCAGCCCTTCAGCTCTATCTTGACTGTGCTGATTACTTATTACCTTCACCTACACTGGGCTGCTCTCTATTTAAACAGCTGCTCGTCACCAGCTCAGTGCGAGATCGTCTGTTGCCCCAGTCACAGCTTTCAAGCTTGTTTTTCATGTTTCCAATAGGATTTTTCTGGTTTTCCATGATCCTCCTGTTTTTTGACTCACAAGTTTGCCAAGTCCTTCTGCTGTTTTTGAAGAGTTCTGACCTCCCGTTGCTGAACACGTGCCCTGTCTCTGACTCTGTCTCTGATTACTGGACTTTCATTGCCTGAGCCCTCCCTTGCATTACCCTGTATCCTTTGCATGCTCGAGCATCTGGTTGGTGGATTTTTTGTCCCTGTTGTCATTTGTTCCCCGGGACCCCCAAGACTCCCGTTGTCCATTTCCCCCACCTTCCCCAGCAGGGTTCCTACCCCCTGGGGATATGCTGTTCCTAACCTACCAGTTTGACCACACTCTGTGGAGCCCCTTCTACCCTATTATTTTTTGGTAATAAAACCTTTGGTGAACCGCCCTCTTGTTTGGCTGTGTTTTGGGTTCTGGCTGATTTTGCTTTAACGTTACACAAAACAAAGATATCACTAGGTTGAAGCAGTGTATGCAAGGACTGAGATATGCGCTAAGAGCAGAATAAGATCCCTCACTTAAAGAGCATTACCTTGTACTGACATGTATCTAAAATAAGTTTACCAGAACACCTTCACAAAGATTGCATTTTGACAATCTTAGGAGCACAGTCTGTGGAATAAAATATTAGTTTAACTAATTATAATGACATGATGAAGGGTTTGGCACAGTGATGGTTAGAGTGGGGTATGTCTGAATCATATCAGAATGTTTGTGTATTAACTAAGTGCCTAAAATGTTGCCGCATAAATAATTCAGAAGTGTTGATGTTTTTTTTGTGTTTGGAACCGTGTCAAAGCAACAGAACATTTTGAGAATTGCTTCCTTTTGTCAAAATAAACATCATGTACATCAATACAGAATATCAAACTTAAAGCACTCACCTTTATATCTGTGGCCCATTATATTTGCTCACAAGAACTTCACCAGACAAAGTAACCAGATAGGGCTTTGCGAGGAAAATTCCCTCAGACAAGGAAAATCTTGCCATTTTTACATCATGAGGTAGATTAAGATCAATATTACCTTAAAATTTAATTATAAGTAAGCAATGTATAATGAACAGCACCTCTCTGTGTCAAAGTATAAGTTATATGGTGTTGGATGGGTTAGCAACCCTTTTTCTTTCACTTTCAACATCAGAATGGTGAAATCTATGTTGTTATTAGGAAGGATGTCAGGGACCCAGTGCACCATCACACTTTCACCCGCCTAATATATATCTGAGGACTGCGACGAGGACATAATAAGGTTAGGATGATGCAACATTATTTATCCACGTAACTGTCACAACACGGTGACAGCTACCTGAGGATGTAACAGCACATACATCACACACAGTGGCATGAACACGAGACAGAGTAAGTAGTAGTAGTCTGGAAATCTGAGTGTGTGTACACGAGCTGTGTGTGTGTGTGTGTGTGTGTGTGTGTGTGTGTGTGTGTGTGTGTGTGTTCTCCTAAGGGAGAATACAAAGAAAAACTCCCACTCCCCACTCCTTCTTACAACCACAGTCTTTTTCTCCCACACATGCACACACATACAGTGTCTGGGGGGTAGAGTAAGCCCTGGTGGATTTGTAGAACGGACCGGATTGTTCATTAATAAAGAAAGGATGAAAAGGGGGAGAGAGTTGGAGTGGTATGTGTGTGTGTGTGTCAGTGTGGGCGTGTGTGTGTTGCAGAGTGAGTGAGTGAGTGGGAAAGAAAGAGAAGAGGAAGAGAAAGGGAGAAATAAAGGGGAGGAGGGGTACACACAGAATTAGACAGTAATTAAATAATCATCTGTGTTGCTCTCGTTTACTCCCTCCTCTCTTCCGCCTCCGCCTTCTCCTACAGCACTGGCGGCCACAACACCTGTCACAACTCATCACACTCACACACACACAGACACATGCTTACAGAAGAGGTTGAAGAGTAAATCACACCAAAGCCACAAACATATTATGAACAAATAGAAAGTTTTACACACTCATACATTACGTAGAGATATTATGGAGACAGACATAGGGAAAAAAACACAAGGGTGAGACAGGTTGTTGCGACAGGGGTCTGAGGTGGAGTTTAGGATATGTTATATTAATTTCCACCACACAGTTGTCTTTTATGACCTGCTCCTTTCCATTAACCCACAGCATTTTTTCCCTTTGTGACAGGTAGCTGATGTCCTGAGCAGGTAAATCCTGGATGACGTGGACTAGTGACACTCTCTGTGAAGTGCCTGTTCCAATTTAAAGAAAGACAAACACACGTGCTCCTGATTATTGCCGTCATGCCTTCAGATGTTGGCTTTGGTTATTTGCTGTGAGCAAGTTCGATCAGTTGTGACAGTTTGTGCATTCATTTGGTAAGCTGTAATAGTTTCAGTGAGGCATTTTAAACAGGGTTACATATTTTAAAATGTTATCATTTTACAATCATAGACTTAAGGGCTATGTGTAATTGACCAACACAATGTATCCAGTAATTGTAAAGTGCAAGTAAATTATATATGGTTTTTGAAATTCTTTATAAATCAAAATATCAAAAGTGTGGTGTGAATTTGTATGAAACTGCCTTCTGATGCGAGTATATAAAATCCTGTACAACAAATTGCCTTCAGAAATTGCCTGAGTAGAAAACAGGGTCAACCTTCATGCCTTTTAAACACAGTGTAAAACAGCTGTTCTGTGAAGGCCTCAGAGGTTTGTTGGAGAACATTGGTGAACAAACAGCATCATGAAGATGCTGTTTGAATGAACACAGCAGAAAGGTCGGTAATAAAGTGTCAGGCTTGGTATGGCGGAGGACCCCAGAATGCAGAAGGACAGGAAGCATCTGTGCTGAGTAATATGATTTAATGAAACAAACTAACTACAGACAGTGTTGGCAAATACAGGCATGGAAAGGCTTGGCATGAACAACAAGAACTGGCAGAAAACAAAGTGACATGATCCGAATGTTTCCGCGAGGAGTAAACATAACGGCAGAGTATATATAGGGCATGACACAAGAGAAGCAGGAAGACTGATTGACATGGTGCAGGTGAACCGAATAAAGTTAATTGACAGGAGAGAACAAAACGTGACTGGAGCAAAAGAGGAATTCAAGGATACAAACTAATAGAAACATAACTAGAAAAACATGAAACTAAAGCATAACCAGATCCAAAAACCTAACTTGACAAAACATGAACTAGAAGACAAAAACTAAAGCATGATCAGGAAAATAATAAACAGAAGCATGATTCAAAACCTTAACTGTGAGAAACATATGAGGAAAAACCCGCAACCAAAAACCAAACAACCCCAAATCATAACATAAAGAGAAAATTAAAGCAGGGTTAGGTTATGAAACAACTTCAAAAGAGTTAAACATCTCACATAGTGATGCTCAATACATGGTCCAAAAACAGTGTATTGGACAAAAGCAAAACTACAAAGATATGATCCTTTGTAAACTGACAGGCCAGGCAAGGAGAGGACTAATCAGACAAAAAGCCAATAGCTCCTTGATAACTCTGGAGGAACTGCAGGGAATCACAGAATCTGCTGACAGAACAACTATTAGTCAAAAATAAAGCCACAAGAAGTCAAATTGGCAGTTTGCCACAACCTGCATCCTGACAAGATGTGGTTCTGTCTACTGTGTCCATTTCATCTGTATGCTGGTTCTCTGTGTTTCTTTAAGCGTCAGTCCATCCTCTCGCTTGTCTGACTCATTTCATCCTTTTCTTTGCCCTGACTCAGCACTGACCAGTACACAGAGGTCACCCCACAGTGATGTCATCAGGTACTAAGGAGTGTGTTCGGTGTAGGCTGTCATACCAAGGCATGAAAATAATTATTATCCTTTCAAAACCTGGTTTTTTAATTTTCAGAGAAAAGCTACACTCACTCCAACATTCACACAACTCCCAGGACACATAAGACAGTAGACACCCAGGTTGACTTGCCCCACTCCTTCCCACAGACCCTCCCAGCAGATTGCACTTCCTTAAAGGAGGGAGCACCTGCAATGAGATGGTACCTCCCCACCTGTTTAGACGACCCCTAGGCCCACCTTTGTCCACCAACACAGGCCCCTCCAAAAGCATTGCATGCAGCCACCAGATGTCACCACTGAGTGCCACAGCCCCCAGCGCTGGATCTCCCAGCGACCCTCAAAATTGGGGATATTCAACATGTTGGATTGTCTTGGCCCAATATCCTAGAGTGTAGGGTGTTCCTTGAGGACAAACGAGCACACAGCCTGTTGAGAGTGACATGTAGCCAATCAGAAAGCGAGGTAACGAAAACACGAAGGGGAATTACTCTGAACTCATGTTTGATCTCGAGAGGGTTTACGAGCTTTCCCATCTGAGACCTCAATGATTGTTGAATCTGTTGGTGTGCAGGCTGTTGTGCTTGCTGTGTGACTTTACAGAACCCACTGTAGGACCAAACCTGTTATACCTATGATTTTTTATTGTCGTGTGAACCAAGCATTTCACTGGAGCCACATTCACACAATCACACTCACAAACTCACACATATTCATACACGAATATGCAGATGAATAGGCAACTGGGTTAAGTGCATATTGACATGTAGCAGGAGGAAAACTGTAACTGAACCCACAACTTTCAGATTACAAGACGAATATTCTTCCCACTGAACCACTGTCACCTCACGTTTAACATACATTTGGACAAAAATGCACCAGGCAGACACACGTTTACAGTTTATTTCAATTCAGTTTTATTTCTATAGCGTCAATTCACAACACATGTCGTCTCAAGTCACTTCATAAAGGGTTTGGAATGGTGCGGGGTTGTTGGGGGAGGTTAGAATAAACTTCTGATTGTTAGAGTTTGGCCATTTTAGAATGGGCAATGTGTAGGGGTACTAAGTAAAATAATAAACTGATAAAGTTTAGAGCCCACTGGTGGCCATTGTTATATTAAAAACCACAAGGATTGAGGGTACCTCTCACTGTCAGACTGATTGTAACCACTGGAAAAGTACAGGGGTCGCACAGGTAGCAGAAATGGAGGGTGTGTTTGCACCTCAACCATAACTGAGCCAGTTTAGGCTAAACCAGTCTCCCCCTTACTCCATCCAACAGGGAGGGAGGAAGATTAAAACTTGATGTTAGATTAGGACTGTACACAAGCTTCATATTTATAATGTTATGTTCTATCTGTTAAACCTGCTGTGCCATTTGGAGCTAAAATAAATAAAAGGTACAAACATTAGTGGCACCAAGTGGAGTCTTCTGCTGCTGTAGTCCATCTGCTTGAATGTTTGTCATGCATTCAGAGATGTTATTTTCTACACAACAAATGTTACTGGTTGTAACAATGGGTTATTTAAGGTACCTCTGCCTTTCTATTGTCTGTAACTAGTCTGCATTTTCCTCTGAGTTCTGACATGCATACATATTTTAATCCCCACAACTGCTGCTCACTGGATATTTTCGTTTTTTTCTGAGTATTCTTTGTAAACCTGAGAGAAGATTGTGGGTGAAATTCCCTGCAGATCAGCAGTATCTGAAATACTCAGACCAGGCCATCTGGCACCAACAACCATGCCATGTTCAAAGTCACCTAAATCCCCATTGCTTTCCATTCTGATGCTGGGGTTGAACTTCATCACCTTCTACATGCCTCAATGCATTTAGGTGTTACCTTGTGATTGGCTAATTCACTATTTAAAAAAAATACCTGAAAAACTTGTATTTAGCTAAGATTTAGTATTTTAAAAGTCTAATTTATTTGTCGATATTAAATGTTGTTCTATCAATTGTGCTTCGGGGATTATTCAAGTTGTGAATACTGCATGTGTTAAAAAAATTCTCTCCTTATCTAATACTGATTTTTGTTTTTATACTGTAGCATTAAATAATCAGTATCAGAATTTGTTTCACTGACCATGTTTCTGTCACAAATGAGAAATTTGACTTTGGTTCCATTGTGCTCTCAGTGAAGAGATTTTAAATATAAATATATAAAAAAGGAAATAAAAATAAATGCTTTTAATGTAAATATATATTTATACAATGTTTTTACAAAAAAGGAAGACAAAGTAAACATGCATTATATCGATCTGGGCACTGTGACTATTGAGTGTTCATTATAGAGACAGCTCAGGGGAAAGAAACTGTCTTAGTGGCGACTACTTTTTTGCAAATAGTGCTCTGTAGTGCCAACCTGACAGTAAAACTCTAAAAGGTTTGTGCCCTGATTGTTTGGCAGCTATTAGCTGCCCTTTTCCTGAACCTAGACTTGTACAAGTCCTGGATGGAGGGAAGTTCAGCCCTGATGACCACCTCTGCAGACCTCATTGTTGATTGAAGTTTGGACCTATCCTCTTTTTTGATGAGCAAAACCACACAGTGATGAAAGAAAACAAGACAAACTGAAAGATGTCAGTGTAGAAGATGATGATGCTTGAGTGGACGAATATGGTCCTCAGCCTCACCTGCTACCAGTCGGTCAGGAAGCTGGTTATCCACTGTGAGCTGTGTGAGCTTCTGGCAGAGGATGTCTGGGTTGATGGTTTTGAAAGTCGAGCTGAAGTCCACAAACAGGATCCTGGCATACGTCCCTGGGTGGTTGAGGTGATGAAGGATGAAGTGCAGTCCCAAACTGACTGCATCATCTGCTGACCCGTTTGCCTGGTAAGCAAACTCAAGGGTTCCAGCAGGGGATCTGTGATGTCCTTCAGAGACAAGGGAAATGAACTCTTTTAACTTTAAGGGAGTTAATTTATCTTGAATTAACTCAACAGAAAAATATATCCACCCTAATGAATGATACTTTTTGGGATTTGGGTTTGTGACTTCCAGACCTGCGTCCTTACATGTAAGCATACGATTAGCTCCCGAAACAAATAACTTTACTCCAGCTGCCACTACCCCACAGCAGTGCTAACACAATCAATCTTTCTGCAAAACCACTAGGAATAACGTGGATAGACAAAATGACATCCAAATCCAGGTATGATAACTCTGTTTTTAGGTGTTATATCACTGCATTCTCCATCTGGCTACATATTTATAAAAGGTCTACTGCACATGCATACCCACACATGCTCACTGTACTGTATACGCATTAATAAAACACACACATGCACAAATGCACACATAGGTTCAGCACACGTTTACCAACATATATTCCACAAATGAGCCCCAACCTGACTGAGCAACATTACGTATAATTAAAATCAGCCATATGGCCATGAGGACAGTTGGCCATGCCAACAGGGTTCAGCTCGGAGGAGAAAACAGACTCACTCGTACAGCCATACTACAGAATGAACATTCAATATTGTTGCTGTGAATTCATTTTCCCTTTCATTGATTTATATTTCCAAGCACCGCTGCAGGGCTTCCTAAAAAATCTAGCTCCCAGCTAAGTGTGGCTAGACAATATGGAATTCATTAATGATGATCAGAACAAAATCGTGCCTGTGAACAGTAGGAGGTAAACAACATTGTGATACGAAACTGCTGGAAATTACTCATTGATTTTATTTTCTGTTTTTTGGGGGTGTTGCTGGAAACATTAAATCCGATACGCTGTATTTAATGTATTTAGTGGCAACCATATTTTTTGCTTTTTTGTAGCACCTAAATGTTTTATCTCACCAAACAGATTTAAATATTGGACGAAGATAACCTGAGTGAATACAGTTTTCAAATCATGATTTAATTTACTAACAAGTAAGAGATATCCAAACCAACCTGACCCCAACCTGAGCAGATAAGAAACAAAGTGATCTGCATCTATTAGCCTAGCAAGAGTGACCCAAAGCGTCCCCATTTAAGGTAGGCCTAAACCACAGCCATCATCCATAAATATGGATAAACAGTGGTGGACCTTCCCGTTAGTGGCTGGGCTACAAAACCTATTTCAAGAGACCATAGCAGGATCATCCAGGAGGAAGAACCGATTTCAACATTTAAAGCACTATAGGCCTCACTTGCCTCAGTTAAGGTCAGTGTTCATGATTTAACAATGAGATATAAACTGGCCAAAAATGGACTCCATGGAAGAGTTTCAAAGTAAAGACCACTTCTGCTCAAAAGGAATACAAAGGATTGTCTTACATTTGCTTTAAAAAATCCTTGATAGAGAATAATTGAACATTACTCAAACACATTCCATTAGGTATACCTCTAAATGGCAAAAAAGTCAAAAACCCTCCAATATGGCTAAATTACAACAATTCTGTAAAAAGAGTGGACCAAAATTCCTTTAAAAAGTCCAAAAATATGTTTAAGGCTTCAAGGCAAAAGCAATGATGTTTAGGGGGAAGTAACTTCTTCACAAAGTGCTATGTTACTTTTTCTCCACAAAAAAAAAAAAGAAATCATTTGATAACAACATCTTCTACATCTGTCATTGTTTTTAAAGAAAGCAGTTTGAGATGGTTTGAGCTTTGAGACATGATCCATTATCCTGCTGGAAGAAGCCATCAGAAGATGGGTACACTGTGATGATAAAGGGATGGACCTGAGTAACAACAATACAATACACATGCTAAGTTGGTGCTAAGGGTCGCAAAGTGACAATTAAATATCTCCCACACCATTGCACCACTTCTACAAGCATAAACTGGCAACATGGATCCATGCTTTTATTTTTCTTAGTTTAACTTCTGACCCTGCCATCTGAATATTGCTGCTCAAATTGACTCATTGGAGCAAGCAAAGACTTAGCAATGTGCCTGATGAACTAGTAGCGCTAACAAGCTGATGTAAAGAGGTGTAGCCAATTAAATAAAAATGAAGTACTCATTACTTGAGTCATACTCCATTAAGCAACATTTATTGTAATTGTGGTTTGTTTTAAATGGCTACCAGAATGACCATCCAATAATATCCAGATTTTGACCATTGGCTTTGACTTACTGTATTTTTGTTGAATTGCGATAAGTCTATTGCATGTACCATCTATCACTCACAATCATTTTAAATCAAGTAAATATTTGAACTAAAACCACTTTTCCCTCTCTGTTTAACTTATTTTATATAATTATCTTACAACTCTACCTATATACTTAAATTAGATTCTGAAGTGGGAGTCTCTATCAGAATATTCAACAACACACTTCAGTCCTATGAATACATATCCAAAGTTGCATTTGCTTTCATCAACTTGAAAGAAATACAAAAAATAAATAAATAACCAACATGTAAACTCTTGGAAGTTTAACAGCCACCCTATCCAACAGAAAGGCCAGGGTGTTATTATTGGAAAGAATGAGATTTTCCTTCTATGTAACATAATGAAAAGGAAATATTCATATTAGGGGAAAACAAACTATTGAAAAGCTGCTCATTAAACCTCATAAATAAATGCAAACCATCTTAATTAGTTCGAGGACCTTGGGTGCCTCTGAGCTCCTCTCTATTTTTCCCAGTTTTTTCTCCTGCTGTTTGTTTTCTTGCTGTTGTTGTTGATGTTTTTTGAAAGTCCGTTTCCCTTTTCTGTCTCCTCCTACTGTTCATTGCTGCCATTTGCCTCTCTCCATTCCCATCCCCTCTGGTTTAGCTGTTCCCTCTCATAGCTCTTTCATCTCTGCACAGTCGACCTGATCTTAGCCTCTCCGGATGCCCCATCCAGAGGAGGGAGAGTGGGAGGACCGGGTGGATGCGTAGAGGTGGGAGATTCGGGACTATG